GAGGTGTGTAATGATTGTTTTTGTTCTTCAAGATGCTCTTGCTGGAGCCTGGGAGGTAATTCTTCATCTTTTTTTTTTTTTAATGTTTCAAACACACAAATTGCTCTTTGGTAATGCTGGCCTTGTAGTTCAACCAGAGAGACCTTAAAATTTTAGAATTGGAAGGTCAGACTCCAGAACTGGTGAAGACATTAGTAACCAAATATTCTTATAGAGAAAGCCACTGAGAACCAGGAAAAAGGCAAATTACTTTTCCAGAGTCCCAGCAGGAAACAGTAGAAAGAGACATGGGATTCTGGTCTCTTGGCATTTAGTTAAGAGCTGGATTTCTTCTATGAAGTGGCTTGAAAATTTCATCTCTGTTGACCTAGAGATAAATAAGTCCTTGGAGATGAGTAAAAAAGTGCCCATTATATTTACAAAGTATTTCCATTTGTGAGGGTTTTTCAACATATGTAGGTTTCACTTCTAAAATCTCCGTTAAATAACAAGCCATCTTGATCACTCCCTGTTCTTTGCAATTTTTTCTCTAGATTTTTTTTTGTTTTAGTTCGTTGCCCAGCACAATTTCCCTCCCTCCTCTCCTCCTGGTCCCTACCTCCACCCCACACTTCTGTTCCCACCCCCACAAGCCACACCGCCTCCATTTCTGTTCTGGAAAAGGCAGGTCTCCCCCACGGATATCAACAAAACATGGCATATCAAGTTGCAGTGAGACTAAGCACCTCCGTATGGATTAAGGCTAAGCAAGGTGATCCAATAGGAGGAGTAGGGTCCCCAAAAGCCAGTAAAAGAGTCGGAGACAGTCCCTGTTCCCACTGTTAGGAGCCCCACAAGAGAACCAAGATACACAACTGTAACAAATACGCAGAGTTCCTAGGTCAGCCCTGTGCAGACTCCCTGATTGTCATTTGTTTCTGTTAGCCCTTATGATCCCAGTTTAGTTGATTCTGTGGATTTTCTTTTAGTGTCCTTGACCCCTCTGACTCCCACAATCCTTCCTTCCCTCTTCCACAGGATTCCCCAAGGTCTGACTAATATTTGGCTCTGGGTCTCTGAATCTGTTTCCATCAGTTGCTGGATGAAGCCTTTCTCATGACAATTGGGCTAGGAAACAACCTATGAGTATAGCAGGTTATCATTGGGAATCATTACATGGATAATTTTTTTCCCTACAGTCATGTTGTTTGGCTCTATCCAAGGTCTCTGGGTCATCTAGCCCAGGGGTCCTGGTGCTCCAGGCAGTGTCAAGAGTGGGTTTACTCTCCTGGTGTGGGTTTTAGACTAGACCAGTCATTGGCTGGCCACTTCCTCCAATCTCTAGGCCACCTTTTCCCCAGCACACCCCATAGGCAGGACCGACTGTAGGTTGAAGGTTATGTGGCTGGGTTGGTTTACCACTCCATCCCCTTGAAGTCTTGCCTGGTCACAGGGATGGCCAGTTCAGGCTATGTATCTGCTGTTGTTAGGAATCTTAGCTGGCTTCATGCTTGTAGATTCTTGGGAGATTACTTTGAGGCAGGTTCTTACCTGACCCTGAAATGCCCCTCCTTTTCAGTAGTCTTTTTCAGTACTCTTCCCTCTGTCCCCCAAACACTATTGTTTAATGTTAGCAATTATTACTAGTTGTTATTTATTTATTTATTTATTTATTTATTTATTTATTTATTTATTTACTTATTTATTGTTTAATGCTATAGCTCTGGATATCAAATCCTGGGTCTCATGTTTTTCTGGTAATCATTGTACTATAATTGATCTATCTATCCAGCCCTGTCAGTTATTTCTGGTATACTTGAGTTATTTATGCCAATGATATTTAGGGTTACTAGGTATGGGACTTTTGACCATTTTAGGGTTTTTATCATCTAAGCAGTATCAGTTCTAAAAGACTGCAAAATAGATTCAAAGAGTCTAGGTTGAATGAAAGGCATACTGGCAAACCAAAGAAAAGTTTCTCTCATTTAAAGATTATAAAAAAAATTCTCAATCACCTTTGTCCTAGTTGGCTTCTATTGTCAACTTAGTACAGTCTAGAGTCATCTGAGAAGGGGGTCTCAGTTGATGATTTCCTAAATCATATTGGCCTGTGGGGGATTGCTTTGATTATTACCTGATGCAGGAGGGCTCACTCCACTGTGGGCAGCCCAATTCCCTCTGCAGGTGGTACCTGATTATATAGGAAAGCTAAGCATGATCCAGAGGGAGAATTTATGCTCCTGATTGAGTACCTGCTCTGACATCCTTCAAGGGTCTGTGACCTGGAAGAGTAAGACAAATAAGTCCTTCCCCACTCTGAATTTCTTTGGTTCAAGTGCTTTATCATAGCACTCAAAGTGTAACTTCAAAATGAAATAATTTGTGTGATTCTAGGGATATGATTTAGTATTGTAGTACTTCAGTGCTTGTTAGAACATGAAAGGCTCTGGGTGCACTGTGAAACAAAGCAAAACAACAACAACAACAACAACAACAACAACAACAAAAACCCAAACTGAAATAAAACAAGAAAAAGAAAACAAAGAAAAAGGAAAATGATATATGTGATCAGTTTTGGTTTTGATTAAATATTATTATATTCTTAGGTAGTTGGTAATAAGCCACTTCTTTCCTAGTTTCCTTTAACTTAGTCCCTCAGGACTTTCCCTTACATGCTCCATATATCTCCATGTTTACAGAAAACAAAGGGTTAAGGTCAGGCACCAGGGTTTTCTGAGGACCCCACTCATCCCTAGGACTCCTGGTGTGCAAGCTTATTGGATAATGAATATTTTGGGCAAGTTGACAAAAATTATCTTTTGTAAATAGCATGAATATTTCTGTATTAAAGCTGAGACTGACGGCTGGGTAAATATTTTAGTTTCTCAGCCAATGTCACTTAGTTCTGCTAATGTTATATTGGGTGACTGAGTAAATGGCTCCTCAAGCACCTATGTGCCCATCATGCGACACTGCCGGGGACAGTCTGTCCACAGCTCTGACCAAGTGTAGTAACATTTCCCCAACTTTCAAATCCCAGGAACACTTTCTCTGTCCTCATTTTCACTTCTTTTCTCTGAGACATTTGACACATTTGACTAATCCTTGTTTTGAAACTCATTTTGAAACTTACCTCGCTAACTCAGAAGTCACTGCTTTAGGCTTTTTCCTAACTAAACGTTATTTCTCACTACCCTTCATTGCATTCTTTTATTCTATTATCTCCTCAAGCCGGATGCTTGTCAGAATCTGCTCCTTTCCTTGTTTACAGGATGACAGACTTGTACCCACCCCCTTGACTTCCCCATAGCTACAAACTGACCATTGCCGTATCTGTACCTCTCCCTCAAGTCTTTCCTCCGTTTTCTTCCTTCATTTCTTCATCAGCCTTCTCAAACTTCATGAGTTCCTCCCATCCCACCATCCATATACAGCTAATCTTGAAGACATGATGAGTGTGTATGTCCCTCAAGTGGATGCCTTCACTTCTGCTAGGCTGTCTCTCTGGAATTGTTAGTTCAGGCCTTTATCTTTGTTTTCACCTCTTTCATTCCAGTAAGCTTCAAACAAAAACACAGTCTATTGCCTGTAAGATCTGGGTCTTTGTCATCTCTGTTCTAGTTCTCACGGCATCTGTGATACGAGATGCCACATAAAGTAACTTAAGACCACACTGTTTCTAGATGTTCATCTTATTTAAGGATGGGCAGTCTAACCCAAGCTCTTTTGCATTTGACTTCAATGTTATCATGGTTAATCTTTTATCACTTGACACCTGAGAATCAGGTTCATGATCTCCAAAACATCAGTGGTCAGTATATGTTCAGTGTGGGCAGCCTAAAAGCAAGTTTGGCCCACGGTGAGCATCTTGCTGTAAATGACCAGCTTTGAGAAAGTTCCTCTGGGAATCGAATCAATCTTTGTAAGTAGGGACATCTTGCACTGCTGCTTTCCAGGAAGCTGCCAGATGGCGCACAAAAAAGCATCCTTATTTAAAATCCTTTGAGAGGTGTCCTGGGAAAAATGCGGGCAAGCACTCAAACCAGAACAGTAAGTAAAACGGTGGCTAGGGGAACACATCATTTAACTTACCTGTTCCAAATTGGTCCTTGTGCTAACATCTGAGCAAGACTGGACTGACTGGCTAATATTAACTCTTCACCTCTGGCTGTTAACTCCTAAGAGGAGTGTGCAGTAAGTAGGCTACCGGCAAACCCCTTAGCTTTTAGAAGATATCATAGAGATAGCACCGTGGTGCTCATATGTTTTTCATTACAGACAGAGTAGTGGATGGCAGCAAAGTAGTTTTCCAATATAAACAAGTTTTGGATGATAAATGGCCAGTGTGTAAGAGCTGAGGAAAACAAGGAGGGGCAATGAAGGGACTCATTGGGAGAACAAAGGCTCCAGTCTTTCTTTCACTAAGGTTTTCAGAGAGTCTTCTTCAGTCTTTCATGTGACCACATCAAAGCAACTTTAGATGCTGGCAAAAGTTGGAAGTAAGATAAGTTCATGTCTACAAACAAAAGTTTCTAGGAATTTTCCTGGAATTGGGAAGGTCAAGGCACACTCCTAATATCAAGTCTTCCAATTTGGGAAGTAAAGAACCCTGAAGGAAAATGGGCGAAATGTTCAGAGACCTGTCTTCAAGAGCATAGGAAAGCATAAATACTGAATTTCTTTAAAATATAAAAAAAGAACATTTATATGCAGCCAAAGATGTAACCAAAACATTGTAAAAATTGTATAAACTAAACATTATTACCTCCTCTCCCCCCCTTTTTTTTTTTTACCTTGAGCACATAAATAGCTAAACAGTCTACTTTTTATAAAAAAAAAATTGAATTTCTGTTCTCCATTGTGAAGAATTGAGGATGCAATCAATTTGCTTTCTTTATGTTGGATGGGAGGTCAGGTTTTAATGCACTCACATTTTTTGGTCTGGAAGGAAGATTTATCACAGGCTGAGGGGGATTTGGGCATTGATTCTCAGACATAGATCCTTTTGATTTCTCTTCCAGGATCTTGATGCAGATGTGGAAGCTGACCTGAAGCTGTGTCTGCTGTGTGGGGCTGGGCGGCTCAATGGCCATCTGTGAGTAATTATCTGTAATATCCATACCTGGGAATGGGGAGCTGTTTTATTGCCAGATGTAAACACTAAAAAGAAACTTTCAGAAAAACTGGTAAGAAGCCAGCTAGCTGATAAAATGGTATTTATTTCCCTGAAAAAGAGAAAAAGAAAAGAAAACTTAGAGAAAAATCAATTATTATATTATAAATATATTTATTCATAATAAATCTAGTGAGACTTGTTAAAAGAGACATAGAGACATTTCCTTCGTAGAAAGGTAGTTAATAAATTCTCTCCCAAAGTGTGGACAATGGACAGCATTTACTTCATTTACTCTATTTAAATTCAACATGCCAGAAACTAACTTTTTCTATTTCAGCAATCATGGTTCATCCCTTCAGAGATAACTTCTCAAAACTGAGGCAGGTAAATATCCCATCTAATCTGTTAACCATTTGTCAAATACATTTTCCTGTTTGTGGTTGCTATTTTTGTCAACTGGCCACAACATGGAATCACGTGGGAAAGAGAGTCTCAAAGTGGGATTGTCTAGAAGGATTGTCTGTAGAGAACTGAGGTGGAAAGACCAAGCCTGGAAGTAGGTGGTACCATTGCCTGGGTTTGGGTCCTTGACTGTATAAAAAAGATGAACTGAGCCAAGTCCTGGCATGCATGTAGTCATTCTCTCCCTGCCCTGGGCTGCCCATGTGATTCATTTCTTCAAGTTCCTGCCACCTGTGCTTTGCCTGGTATGATTAACAGTAACCTGGGGTTTGAGCTGACCTCCTTTCCCTTCTAAGTAGTCTTGTCTGGTATTTTGTCATGGCTACAAGAAAGGAGACCAGGACACTGTCATTTACATTGAAAAAAGTCAGATTGGGAAAGTAGCACCAGAAGATGTCAACATCGCCATGCTTCTCTGTCTGGACAAAGACCTCCATTCTCTCCTGTGCCTTTGGATTCTGCTTCTTTCTAAGTCTTCCTCCTACCTAACTGAAGACACACCCTGTCTACTGTGCTTTGTCTCTATTATGTCCTGCTTTCAGCTCACCCATTTATGACCTTTTACATCAATGTGTAGAGAAAAGCATGGCAAAAATAAAGGGATTCAGCTACAGTGAAATCACTTTATATTTAATCTCTTAATGGTTTTTATTCTCCCATCAATACAAACAATTTTCCCTCAAAATCACCAACATATGCTGTTATGAGAAAATGTATTCAGAATACATAATTATACAGTATTTCTCTTTGACTATGAAAGTATTTAATCAAGAGACTTGTTAAATACAAGGTTATACAAATTAACATAATATTCACATTTTGCAATGCCTGTAGAAGAGGAAAAGCCACCTTTGAAGCCGAAGTGAAGTAAAAACTTCCTTTATGTATGCAATTATTAAGGGAATGATCGATATGTGTTCTGTATTTTACATGAGGATTAACTCCATAAAGCCATATCATTTAGTCAGAATAAAAGGAAATTAAAAGTAAAGAAAGAGTATCTGTGGAATGAGCTCATATGCATGCAAGAGATACAGGCATGCATGCACATGAGCATACACACACACACACACACACACACACACACACACACACACACACACCATGCATGAAAATGCTCAAACCAAGAATTAATTTATTTCAGTTTATAAACATTTAGCAGTAACTTCATAGAATTCAGCTGTGGGTACAGTATAATAGGGAATGGTATTCTTTCTCAGAATAAGTGGGTGCATATACTTGTGGTTGGTAGTGTTGTCTTTTATGTAGGAACTGGCTCCAGGGTACTTCAGGCTTTGTTTTATAAAGGCTTGTCTTGAATTTATTTCTAGTGCCTTGAGGTTTATTTTCCAGACAAAAGTTTCTGGCCTAATCATCAGGCAATGTCCACAGACATTGTCATATTCTCACTGTCCTTGTGACCCAACACAGTCAATGCTGATTCTTAATGAGCAACTCAGATGTTTCTGTGGCTTTATGATCTATTTCTGGGCTGTTTGATCTATTTTAATCCAGTTACCAAATAGCCAGCAGCCACTGTCTGAAACAGTTGCCATGATGCCACAGATGAGTGAGGGAAGAAACTACTCCCTCATCCTTCTTAACCCTGTCCACCATTCCATGTAGATAAACAAAATAGAACCTAAGAACATCTGGAAACAATCAGTAAACAACAGTTTGGAAATTTCTGCTTCATTTAGACTTGACATACTTCAGAAAAAGCTATTCATGGGAAAATTAAATTTACATTTTGATTTCATTTAGAAAATCCATCTATTTGGCATCTCCAAAATCATTAACTTCCCATTTCCATCTTTACAATCTTTGTCATTTATTGTGACTTGCCCCCGCCCCCCTTCTCCTCAAAATGTACACATCTGGTCTCCAGTCATAAAATGTTTATTCCTAAATCTTAGAATAGGGACTCTATTTCTCTGCACTTCATAAGCCCCCAAGGTCTGCAAGTGTGTGATGGAAAAGTGCTGAGTCCACTGATTTCAGAATCAGCACACTTCACAGATGGAGGCCTTCTGATTTCACCTTGCCTCATCTCTTCAGGCAGAACGCCATCAGTCAGTCCAACCATGGCCATTTCACTGGTAGTTTTTTCTCTTTGCCTCCTTCTTTGTTCAACTTCCTTTCCTTTTGACCACTTTTACTTTCTTCTCTGTCAACATTTTATTTTTAATTTTGATCACACATTCTGTTTTCAAATGACACTCCCTCTACCATTACAATAAACTGATACTTCCTTGGGTCTCAGTAGTTCCTTGTTTATATGCTTATAACATGTTTGTTCTATTTCTTAACTTCAAGGTGGGGTTTCATCACTTTCTTCTGCTACATTCTCATTTATGAACATAGGCTCTGTACTTCACTCATTGTGATAGTTTTCTGTTTTGATTGTCAACCTGATGGGATTTAGAATCGTGGTTGAAACAAACCTCAGGGCCAGTCTGTGAGGAACTTTCTAGGTGGGCTAATTAAGATGAGATCTATCCTAACTCTAGGTAGCAGCATTCTATAAGCTAGGATCATGTACTCAGTCTGTAAAAAAGGAGAAAGTGAGCTGAGCATCAGCTTTCCTTGCCTTCTGTTTCCTGACTATGGATGCAATGTAGTGGTGTGCTTCAACTCCAGCTGCCATGATTTCTCAGCCATGATGGATTAGTTTTGAACCATGAACCAAAATAGCCCTTTACATTCTTAAGTTGCCCGTTCTGGGTATTTTGTCACAGTAGTGAGAAAAATAAACCATTACATAACACCATATCTTGTAACACCTGGTATTCTAGTGTACACCATACAATACACAGATGACCAGAACCACCTTGTTGCAAAAGAAAAAAAGTGTGAATTACCAGACTAAGTATTTCAGATTGAAGATGACTTAATTACTCTGTTGAATAACACAGCTGCACATGGCTACCAGGAGAAGCTAAATTGAATACAAAGAGTTGTTTTGGTAACAGAGAACCAGTATTTGTAGTTTGGAAACAATATAGGAATTCTTTTAATCTTCTCCAGACCACGATTAAAATACAATTTATGATCTTTAAAAAATATTCTGGGTTTTCTGGAATTTGTGCCTGTGTGTCTGGCTCAGAATTGGTAAGAAATGATGCATAGATGCTATTGTTAGAACTTTGGTCCATAAGCCTAAGCTCCAGTTAAATTGATGTCATCTCAGCATAGGCTGGCTTAGTTCTGCCGAGATTGTAGGGGGATGTTCTGAACTGGGCTACACTGGCTACAGCATATGAATTGGGAGTATGCACGAAATGATTTGTGAGGTGTTTTCCTCAACCTGACAGTCTTTACATAGCCACCAACAGTTCTAGTTTATTTTAATCACCAAGGTTCTAGTCTTCCAATGACTGAGGTATTTATGCCAAAGAATTGACCTAAAATAGTAGCAGCATAGTGCATTGTTAGTGTGGTGTATTGGCTAACCATACAGATGATGGCACACTGGCCAGTTTTCAGAGACTACAATCTATTATGCAGACTTGAATCAGGTTATTTTACCTTTCCAAACCTTAAAAGCAATTCTTTGTCTCACTGGTTCCCTTTATAGCTTTCTTTCCTTCCTGAGGAATCTTGCTGTAGCTTTAGATGATTTTATTTTCAGCCCCCCTTACCCCCGAAGGTTGTTTTTCCTTATGCAAGTTGGGACTCTCCAATTTACATGAAACTCAGATTTCATGAACTTGAATGGGCACAGCAAGTTTGCTTTCTAAGGCTTCCTATCCAGCAGCAATGTCACTTCCAAATGCAGTGGTTCCTTATAAAGATGGATGGGTGTAATTTGGTGAAAGGAGGAGGAAAATGAAGTGCAGAGGTAATGTACAGATGCTCTGGAACTAGAATCCATAGTCAATCAGTCCTGAGTCCTCCTACTACTATATATTTAATGAAAACTTTGGTCCTTTGCCTCAGTGACCATATTTCTGTGTGTCCAGAAGTTTTCTCTGGTCCTGTGGAATCTCTCCCACCCATTTCCTGCAGCTGCTTGGTCCCAAATAAACACACACAGGCTTATATTAATTATGAACTGGATAGCCTATGGCTCAGGCTTCTGCTAGTTAGCTCTTATATCTTAAATTATCCCATAACTATTAATCTATGTATCGTGGCTTTACCTGCATCCCATTGCATGTTGCTCCTTGGGCAGCTGGCTGGTATCTCCCTCTACCTTCTTTCTGTCTCTCTCTTTGAATTTCTCACCTGCCTCTAAGCTGCCTTGCCATTGGCAAAACAGCTTTTTTTATTTATCAACCAATCAGAGCACCATGTTTTCACAGCATACAAAAAGACATTGCCCCATCATTTCTGCGTAATATCACATCTGTTGAAATCTTTTGCCAGCCAGCTTTCACCCAACTCTGACCAACCCCCAAACATTTCATGCTTTAGAAGGTGGCTTACCACTGGGAATCCACTCCTTTATATAGACCAGCCTTCATTACAGTGTGCTCTTAAAGCCTTGCTTAAAAATTAGAGCTATGATGCATAAGACTTCTTTGGTAGTGCTATTTGTATGATTTCATTATTTATACACAGATCTCACAAACGCACAGAAGTGTAAACCTGATAAGGAGAATCCATACCCTGCTAGGCTGTGAATTTCTTTCCCCTACTTTACATCACAGAGACAAACACAGTGCACACCTGAGTGAATTTGCTCAGTGGTACTCAGTAGTGTCAATGTTGAATTCATCTGAAACTTCTCTTCATTTGGAACATTCTTCTAACTTGGAGGAAGAAGTCTTCATGTTATTCTCACCGTTTGTTCCTCTGAACATGGAACTTTTGGCATTTCAGAGCCAGTGGGTGGGCTACTAAATGCCTTTCAACTTCAGAAGTGAAAGAATCTTTGGGAACAAGAGTTTTTTGTTTTTTTGTTTGTTTGTTTGTTTTTTTAATTTTGTTTTACATTTTATCTCCAGGGCCGAACGTTTTCTAGGAGCCCTAAACAGTTTATTTGTAGCTTGAGTGGAAATGATGAAATCTAGGAATGTGGACACTTAGGGTATCTGCCTAAGTGTTTCCTTTAAAGAATATTATACTTAACATGACTCAATGAAATCATTGCTTCCCCAAAGGCTTCTAACTGAAGATTTGAGAGTATAAATGAACGCTTCAAATGCCATAGTCCTGGGTGATTTTCTTTATCTTAATGATTCACTGATGACTTTCTTGAGCTAAAAGTCAAAAGACAAAATATCTCAATCCATTGCACAAATTACAGGTATAGGCCACTTTATGATCACCCAGATGTTGAGAAGTAACTACTAACATGGTTGTATTAAATTTTATATATATTCTAATTTTGCTATAAAGAGAACAGAAAATAAGATAAAGATGCAAAGTATGAAAGAATAATCTAAAATTACTATAAGAACACCATTTACAATATTAGCTATTGACATAAAAATGCTGCACTTAACAAGTTTGAAAGTAGCTAATATAATCAATGGTTTCTCAGCTTGAATGATGAAATAGGTTTTCATTCGAAATGAATATTGGTATATATTACATTCTAGGAAGTTCTTTTATTGTGAGAGTTATAATATATACACTTTTATGAGAAAGTTAAAAATTAAGTATTTAAAAAAATCATTTATTTAGTGAGCAGCCTAGAATAAGTTTAAAAAATGCCTTTCCCCATTTCTCTTTCTAAATCCTGGAAGTTTTGTGGTGGATAAAAGTGCATAATAATGTAGTTAATACTGGTAGTTTAAAATCAAAGTAGGACTCGATGACTTCAGAATGAGTATTCTAATTGTACAGAAGTTGGTTGAAATGTATAGACTTTGGGTCTGGGATAGTGCTTGTTTGAATGGCTACATTTATATAGCTGTGTCTTTCTTTATTTGCAGGGTCAGTACAATCATATTGACTCATAATAAAAATACATGTAGTTTCATATTTTAACAATATTATAGCGTCAATAAGAATTTTTTTGGCATTATATGTCAAATTTAGATGAATTTTTATTTCTTAAAAGTGGATATAAACTTTAAGTCCTTTTACTATTGAATGCATGAAATCACATTACTGTCTCTCTTCTACAGGTTATAGAGAGGAACCAAGAGATGGAGGACTCTCTTTTCCATTTGCTTCCTGTTTTAATACACACACACAGAGATCTGTTAGTGTAGTGAGCTTGGTCTCTTCTTCCCCACTCATTTGAATTTAAACCGTGGAAAGAAATGACTTGGTGTCAGGGTTCAGCTTCTCCATTGGACACATGGAATCATCCTCTTCCCCTCTTATCACTATGTGCCAGAGCAAGTGACCAGTCTTGGATAACAGGTGTTCATTTTGTAGATTCAACATTTTTCTTCCATGTATATCTATGTAGGGACAGAGTTGACAAGCCCTTTTACAGAATTTACAGAAGCAAATTCACAAATTCAATGAGCTTAAAATAATAAAGATAAATATTTTTACTTTCACTTTTCTCTTTTTTTTGACTTATTTCCTAAACTATTCCACAATTGATAAAAGACAAGAAAAGTTGCTTACAATCTTGAATTCCCATAAGAAGTACGTGTCAGTAGCAGTACCACCCACCTCATGAATGAGTGTACCTTGACGGATGTGGTATTATTCTTATATATAGACTAAAGTACACCTCTTCCCTGACATTATTGATAGTTGAATCGAGGTGTTATTACATGGCATCTGATAAGAATTCTGACCCCCCAAAATCTACAAACTTCTAACTCTTTCGTCTTGTGAGTCTATCTGGCAGAAGTTCTGTCAAAATATAACTGAATGTAGGATTCTGTCAAAATAAAACATAGGTTTTCACAGGACATATCTTCTTCTTTCTATTCCTTTCTTTTGTATTCTTCTTCCTCTCTTCTTGTGATCTATAGCATTGAAAAGATAGTGTAGTGGTATTGTGTTCACCAAAATATTGTGTACCTTAATAAACTT